TGCGGTTCCCTGGATATCGTCATTGAATGTGCAATATTTGTCCCTGTATGTGTCCAAAAGCCTGAAGGAATTTGTGTTGGCAAAGTCTTCAAACTGTATAAGAGTGCTTTGACCATAACGGCGAACAACAGCTCGCATGAATTCGTCTACGAAATCATCGTATAGTTTCCCTGTAATCCTCTTCTGTCTAAGTCCAATGTACAGAGGATCATCTAGTATGTCTTGGGTGTTTGTTCCAACGTCCAATGTTATGGGGAGACAATGTTGTGGTTTTATACCCGCAAGCGCAGTGTACAAAGCAAGCTTTCCGACTGGAATCCCCATTCCGTAAGCTCCTAAATCTCCTAAGCCCAAAATACGCTCTCCGTCGGTCACAACAATCGCTCTGACATCTGATTCTGGCCAGTTTTTCAAAACATCGTAAATGTGGCCTTTATCATGAATCGATATGTAGAGTCCTTTTGGCCGACGGTAGATCAAGCCGTATTTCTGGCATGCCAAACCAACTGTGGGAGTATAAACTACTGGCATCAATGTTTCTACATTTTCTGAGAGAAAACGATAGAACAGTTTTTCATTTCTGTCCTGTAAATCCATGAGATATACGTATTTGTCGAGATTGTCCTTGTACCTTTCAATGTTGAGTCGACACAAGTTCAACTGTTCCTCTTGTGAATGAATGCGAGGAGGTAGAAGTCCATGGATTCCCAGCGTCTGTCGTTCCCTCAGTGTGAAGGCCAAGTCTTTGTTGAGTTGAGCGTCCTTCAGATGGTCAAGTCCTCGCACCAGATTGGAGGATAAACCATCCTTGTGTCCTTCACTAAACTGTCTCTGTCCCAGGCGATACCCAGACTCATCAATACTCAAATACTGATTGTCATTAGGTGTGGCTCCAGTCCCTGTACATTGGCAACGATTTGTCATCGGACGGAACTGCAGGTTTAATCATTAAATTACCGCATAAAGGTGAAAATAGATATTAAAATGTATATAAGTGTTATATGTGTAGTTTAAAAACATAAAAATTACATAAAACTTAAAAATTCAACTAATAAGACATAACTCAATTTTATTGAAAGAAATTTTGTACTACTCTCCCAATCTCTTTTAACTTAATAATGTGGGCAAGTTTGTTTGCAAAATGGTAATGATAAACATTTTCTGTTTTGAAAACTAAACAAATGTTTAAAAAGTTAATCATGCATTAAGATGTACTGGAAAGGAATAACTAGGGAGAATTTGTTGTGTTTCATTGATAAACTTGGACAACATAGGAAATTCCAAATCTTATTATTTCCTGAACTTTTAAAGTAATAGCTTTGACTATTGATACAACTATTGATACTTCTGTATCCAATAGTCAATGGTATTAGTCAACATCATTCTTCAACACTCATAGATTTGGATTCTGACAGAATTATTAAATTTAGTTTCCAACAAATATCCTACCATGAATCGTATATTTTACAGCAATTTAAAGAAACGTTTTCAAACATTTATTTATGACGAAGCTGTAGTAGATGTCTGAAGATGTCACTGTGTTGACAAATCATGTCACAAATTAGCCACGAATAGGAATGCTAGGGATTGGTGTTAAATATTTGCATTTATGCGATCTTGTTTGTAGCTGAGTTGCTACCGGTTTCAACTCACATTGGAGTCATCTTCAGGCAGTTAGATGTCTTCTCGCTTCATTCGAAGGTCGTCAATAGATAATAAATAAATAAACAAAACACAAACACGTACACAGACATGAATAAGAACATTTAAGGCCTTGTACCATGTTGATCCTGACCGGCAGTCTAGACATAACTTTCGCCCGATCATGTTGTGTCGTGTCCCGTAGGCCTACCGTTTTCAGTATTTTATAGCCTTAAATGTTGTTATTCATGTCCGTGTACGTGTTTGTGTTTTGTTTATTTATTTATTATCTATTGACGACCTTCGAATGAAGCGAGAAGACATCTAACTGCCTGAAGATGACTCCAATGTGAGTTGAAACTGGTAGCAACTCAGCTACAAACAAGATCGCATAAATGCAGGTATTTTACACCAATTTATAGTATTTAAATGTGATCAGGAGGCTAAAATTCAATATAATGAATGCTAGGGTTTTAAAGTACAATGTACTCCATCCCTTAGTACAAATGGTGGCCAAAGTCTCGCAACTCTCTTCTTCAGTGCTACTTCCAGTTTTATATTAGAGGTTAAAACATTGTCAATGTCACCTGTTTCACCAACTGTGCTGAATTTATTTGTGAAATGTATCTATTTCATGAAAATAAACTACTTGACTTGTTGTTTGTGGATGTCATAGAGTACAAGGGCCTAGTTTTTTAGGATTTTTTGAGAGGATAGCAGACTTATCTGAATGGGAAAGAGTCAAAACTAGCTTAATATTAACTTTAATATTATTTTTGCTGATTCCTCTATATTTCTTCACATAACCTTAAATTTGTAGTTGTGTTGGCTGTTAGTGAGCATTTATTATATATATTTTCTCAAATCTGTATGTGGTGAATATTTTTTTTTTTTTTTTGTACCATGGGTCAAAAAAGTCTTCGTCTTGAACTTAAAAAATGATCTCGAGGTGGCAAAACCTCAATTTTGGTCATAGGTTCAAAATATAGCCTACTATTATGTATATGATGTACATTTGTGTCTATTGGGCCATTTTGGACTCTTTCCCATCCAGGTAAGCCTGCTATCCTATAAAAAAAAATCCTGACTTGTTTCCTTGCTTTTTCAACTCTACCACACGTATGTACACATAAACAAAACGGCTCTGTGACAAAAGCTAAGCATATTGTCCACATCACTTTAACTACATCGCACAGAATCAGTGAGCTTTGTGATATGACTTTTTCATTGTTCATTATTGTTTATTGGTCTGCAAGAATAGTGGAAAATGAAATGAGTGAGTTTTGTGGAGGGAGATCCCCCCATATAGTCGCTCTCTTTTTTTACTTGATAAGAGAATCTACGTCTTGTGGACCTTTGAACCACTGGACCCAAGAAACACATATTGTGAATGACTGTTGGGGATTGGCAAGATGTTAACCCTAGACTCCAGAGCTGAAGTCCCACATTACACTTACCTGAGCCCTCTAGTAAATTCTTTACCATTATTGAGATTAGTACTGTAACATAGTAATTTTAGTTAACTATAGTTTTCCTGTTCTAACAAAAGTATCCTGTTTTATGTAAAAAAAAACCCTCACCTTCAATTTTATCTGATCCATCTGTTTGTTTATCCACAATTTCGTAACTGGGACCTGATTTTGACGATGTCCAATCTTTTCTAAATTCAACAAATGCTTCGTTATTCAAAATATTATCTTTTGTGGAATTTGTCTTGCCATCCATAAACTTATCATTGTTGTTATTATTTATATCATGTTCCCCAGTCGAGTTTTCTGATTGGTTTTTCAGTCTTGTATTTAGGTTATTTATTACTTCTTTTTTATATGTGGCTTGACTTTTGGCACTTCCCTCAGAGCCTGGTGTAAACGTCAACAGTTTGTTAAAAATAATATTTCAGTAAGCAAAATTAAATGATTTGAAAATAGGTATGGATATTGATGGTATTCAATATCAAATTAATATGATTGTAAATGAATTATAAATTATTTGGTGCTAAGAAATCAAACAATTAGCAAAAAGAGACACAACATCTACTTGTAGTGTTAGACTGAGATTAGCAGTAAATATTTCAGGCCTACAATAAATTTACTAATTATTGGGGAAAAAATTCAATTGAATTATGAGGAAAACTGTGGAAAACATGTTTAAACACAAATTCTCATGAACATTATTAATTACAAATTTTCTTTTTACATTCAAAAGAAGGAAAGTTTATAAATATTTAACAAGTAGTTTAGTGTTTTTTTCTGTTTGTCTAACTTCAAAACTACGGGTACTGTGTTCTTATATAAAATATATAGTATTTGTTTCAGAAACAATAATTGTTAACTGTTCTATTCGCTATTTATATGTCATCCATAATCTTAACAAATCAATACACAAACAAATGTGTAACTAATACTAAAGCGGAAGATTTTGAATAGCTTTCCTATCCGTCTAACATTATTGGACAACTAACATATAACAAAATACCCCCGTCGCAGCAAACCTGCATACTAAGCGAATTTCCATTTACCCAGCTTGATTTCTACTAAAATATTCCCTATAAATTTTCAGATTTATTTCCTATTTAAATAACATTAATTTTAGTGAGTAGTTAGGTTTGCTGCTACGGGGAAGGTGTTGAGGTGTGTTTTTTCAATTTAAATATTGATAGCTTAGTATGAAATAAACCAAATTGCCAAATTTGATTAAAATATATCCATAAACAAGCAAACTAGAACAGTTTATTTATTCTCCATAAGAATAACATGGGAATTTTAAATTTACAATTTTTTTAATTTTCTCCGTAGTCAATGAACATTCAAAAACACTTCAATATACTAAATTATTTGTTTTTTTAAGCTCTTCAAAATGGTCTAGAGAGAAATTTAGAAATTTAAAGTTTTTAGGGTCAAAAATGAGAAAAACCCATTTTTACCCCATAAAACCCCCCCCTAACCCCTTATCCCATGGTCCGATTATGCTGGTTCGCGAACTCGTTCGAATAAATGTAGGTTTACACGTTTGTACCGAATTTCATCAAAATCGGATCAATTTTGCTCGAGTTATCGCGCTAACTGACACATATATAAATATATATATATATATAAATATATATATATATATAAATATATATATATATATAAATATATATATATATAAATATATATATATATATAAATATATATATATATATATATGAATTTGAACGGATGGTGTTTTTGGCCTCTGGGGACCTCAAAACGAAAAAGTAAATCGGTCCCGGGTCTAGGTCTTACCATGAGACCTACGGTAATAGCTTATTCCCTATATGGGAAATTCGCTAACAAGCATTAGATGTTACAATGGTATTAGAATGTTTATGATCTACTTATTCATATTTTATCAATGGTTAAAGGTTTACTTACCCTGAAATGGATCGCCAAAAGTTATTCCACTCTCACTCAAGCCATTTGTTTTCAGATCTTTGTTAATTCCTAGAAAAAGATAGTTCAAGCTATAAACGTAAGCAATAAAGTAAAAAAAATATCAATTAATTAGAGTACTTATTAATTAGATTAGATTTCTATGACACTGTCACATGAAGGCAGATGAGTGTTAAATTAATTAGATAACAGCTGTGTTACTGACCAAGATCAGCTGGTCAGTCAGGATCATTATTAAAGCCTCATTTGTCCAGATTCAAACCATCAAAGAGTTTGATTTTATTTCAGATTCAAACTGGCAAACTTCTGTTCTGATTACTGGATCACGAACTTAAAAAAATCAATGTTGACTTAGTTTTAACACAGCTTTGGATTATTGTTGAAAATTGTCTTTTTGTTTGTTGAAAACTTTTTTAATGCAGTTGGTATTTTTCATCGGCAAACAGTTCTAAAGGTGTGAAATAAAATTACTGTACTTCAGAAATTTTACAGATTTTTTCACATCTTTGTTTGCAGATTATACTCTTAAATAAAATAGAAATATTTAATACTACAAATAATCCAATTTATTATCTGTTGATTCCTGATTTACTTTGACGAATTATACAATCTTAAAGAACAGTGTTCTAAGACTGTAAACTACAATTAAACGATGATTGCAAATCATAAATTGATACTTTCTGAATGGCCTCCATAAATCAAAAGTATATGAAATGATTTACCAAACCTCCTTTATTTAAATCGTCCTGAAATCCTCCTGATGAACCACTTTCACCAGGCATAATAAAGCTGTGGTTTAATGTATGTTTTCCTGCATATGTTGGTATCATTGGTGCATAGATTCCCACTGCATTAGATCCAGCACTTTTCCCAATGTAGTGATGAGATGGGATGTCCCTAGAATCTTGAAGTCACACATAGGTTTAGGATTCAAACAATTTATATACGGTACATATATAAGTCTAAAAGCACGATGCAAGTAAGAATTATCAGATTTTGATGAAATTTGGAACAATCATGTGCTAAAGGTTTCGCGAAGCAGAACAATTTTATTGGCTGAAAATTATTTTCCAGTTTTTGGCCCTCAAAACAAAAATTAATTTTGAAACCACCTTGTAGAGCTTGAAAATAAATAATTTGGTTATTGAATGAAGTTTTGTTATACAAAATACTTACAGAGAAAAGAAAAAAGAAATTAATTGATTAATTCCTATGTTACTTTTATGGTGAGTAAAAACAGATTGGGGTGGTTTAAGTAGATTGCTTTACTAAGAATAAAATCTGAGAATTTGTAATATTTCACATCCAACTATTAACATTTTACTAGAAAAAAGAAAAACACTTCCTTCTCTGTAGCAGCGAACCTAAGCACTCATCAAACCTATTGTTAATTAAATAGGAAATAAATCTAACTTCTATAAGATAGTATTTTAGTAAAAATCCAATAAGTGAAACGGAAATTAGCTTAGTCTGCAGGTTTTCTGCATCTGGAATATCTTACAGTTGAACTTTCTATGGCGAATAGCTAATAGAATAATAGAAATATCAACATTGCTATCAAACTTTATTGCAAAAAAGAATTCATTCATTGGTTCTGTCATTATTTTGCGACATAACTGAATCAATTGAAAGATTTTTATTTTGAAAGAAGTAAAAAAGTCATAAATTGTTTTAATTTTTTACTTAATATCAGTTGAATAAGACTTAAAAGACAAATAGTTTGATAGTTAACAGTAAAATATCTTACCTGCTACTGGAAAATTCCCCATGTTTCTCTGGTTAGTTCCTTATAACCTATGTTCCTAAAAGATAAATAAACTACCTACTATTTAATGTAAAAGAGGTGTTTTTAGATTCATTTTGAACAATGTCTTATTGTTAAGTAGTGTACTAGCCCAGATTTACATACTTCTAATTCTATCTATGTGGGAACATGAATAAGTATGATATAATAATGATTAACATTTTCACTTAGTAAGTTGATAACACTGATAGTATCTTAACTTAGGGTTATCTGTTAGCGGATGTTGATTGTGTTGGTCATTGTCTTTTGAATTTAAATAACATTTTGTAATTTATTTAGTGGTGATGTTTTTAAACAGAAAAAAATGTTTCATTCATACTGTATCACCCTTTTTGGTGACAGAATAAAATGATCTTTTGTTGCTTTTACTATACTGTGCATAAACTTAAAGAGTTACAGTATAAATAGTACATTTTACTAGGCCTACTAGTCCAGAAAGTGATCGAGTTTGGGGCAAAAGAAAGGGGCTTACGAGAAGCAAAGTAAAGCCCAGTAAACAACTAACCCCTGAAATGGATCTTTCATGACGAGTTGTGAACGACAATTTTCATCTTGATGAAAAAAACCAAAATTCATGTTTTCGACCCTGGACTATATTGTTATGACAACCATAGGGTTTTTACATACCTCCGTCAAATAGTCCAAAGAATGATTTTGCTCATCAGCTTACGTATTTAGTTGCGAAGACAACATTTTCAAAGCTTGCAACTCGTCAAAAACACATTTAAAACACGGACACGAACACAGAAACACTAATACGGTACAAATACACAATAAACATTTAGATAGCGCTATTATAATGTTTATCGTGTATTCGTACCGTATTAATGTTTTCTGTGTTCGTGTCCGTGTTTTAAATGTGTTTTTGACGAGTTGCAATCTTTGAAAATGTTGTCTTCGCAATGAAACATGTAAGCTGATGAGCAATATCATTCCTTGGGCAATTTGACTTAGGTATGTAAAAACCCTATGATTTAAAAAAAAAACCACACAAAACTCAATGTTGAGCCCTGTGGCACACCACACGAATTTAGTTCATTGAAGCATTACTGTTTGACTGTGTTGATCATGGCATCTTACTGCGCAAACTGCAGTATTACGGGGTCCATGGTGGTGCGCTCAGTCTCTTTGAGACCTACCTCGCGGACAGAAGGCAGGTGGTTTGCATAGGAGGAGAGACTTCCTCTATTGCTACTAGCAACTGTGGCGTTCCCCAGGGGTCTGTACTTGGCCCTCTATTGTTTCTTATTGCTGTGAATGATCTACCTTGTAACTTAAATGGAAATATTTTTCAATATGCAGATGATACGACCATGCTTAATATTGGTAGAGATATATCTAACCTCAGAAATTCTGTGGTTCATGGTATGAATAGGGCCACAGAATGGTTTGCTGCCAACAGCTTTCTTTTAAATAAGGACAAAACCTTGGACCTAATTTTTAGTCTTAGGGAACTTCCATATACTATAGTGTCTAACAGTCATGTAAAATTTCTTGGTGTTACATTGGATCAAAAATTGTCTTGGGAGTCTCATATAAACCAACTTTGTACTAGGATGAGTCGATTAAAGTGCCTCTTTAGAAAATTAAGATGTGTAATCCCAATAGATTGTCTGTTAAATGTTTACTATGGCCTCTTCCAATCAGCAGTAAGCTATGGAATAATTTTTTGGGGAAATAGCCCACATGTAAAAAAGGTTCTTGTAATTCAGAAAAAGATTCTAAGAATAATAGCCAAAGTAGATGTTGTTGAACACCATAAACCAATTTTTATTGATTTTAAAATTCTCACTGTTGTTAACTTGTATATTTTTAATTTATTGTTAACTAGTTTTAAGAATTTAAATGCTTTCAACTGCCGTAAAGATGTCCACCAGCACAATACTCGATTCAGAGATAAACTTGACATTCCCTATGTTAGACTGGAGAAATCTAAGAAAAGCTATGAAATAGTGGGCATGCAATGTATTCTACTTTTATGTTCTCTCTCCCATATAATTCTTTTAAACATAAAATGTTCCAATGACTAGCTGTTAATCCTTTTTACGAACTCAAAGACTTTTTAGACCTTCCTTCGTCAAAGTTATGTTTTTAGTTGTCATTGTCTAACTTTTATGCCTTCACCTAATGCCTTGTAGTACAACCTGTCTAATTTTGTAATATTTTGCTAACTTTTAAATGGTTTTTTTTACTTCTCGATAGTGATAAACTCTGTGATATTAGTTTAAGACGCAATAACTAAATAACTTAAAATGCAATTTTTTTTCGTAGACTTCAAAGAATACTTTGTAACTTACTTCTCAATTTGACAACTGCTCTGCATGAAAAATGTTTTGACTCTTCCAATGCATTTGTAATATGTCTACTGGAAATAAACATGTCTTATGTCTTATTATTATGCGCCTAATTGTTACAGAGAAAATTTGAAAAAATGGTAAATTTTAAATTCTTATGTTATTTTTATGGATAATAAGTAAACTGTTGTAGTTTTGTTGCTTGTTTTGTTTATGAACTTATTTTGATCAAATTTGGGAAATGCATTTATTTCATACTAAACTATTAACATAAAAAAAAAACACTTTTCTACCCTCCCTTTTGCAGAAAACCGTGCTCTTTAAACTAATTTTATTTAAATAGGGAATAAAAATGTCATATTTTTAAGGAGGCATTTTAGTGTAAATCCAATCAGGCAAATGGAAATTTGCTTAGTCTCGCAGGTTTGCTGCGGCTGGGGTATTTTATCTATTTAATCACAATAACAAGAATTCAATTCGGTCAGTTCCAACCTTAATTTTTAACTCCAGTATTGTAATTTAAACCTAAAGGAAACACATTGAGGAAACAAACATATATGTAATGGCTAAATACATTAATTTGGAAAGCAAGTTATAAATTCTCAAGAGTTTTGTTTAGTATTATAGAAGAATTTATTTGTAAAATAAGAAAACAATGATTTTTTAAATCTGACAAACAATATTTTTTTAGAGGAGGGTGTATCTTAAAAATATGTAAATCAAATTGCAAACCAGTTTTAAAAATTCAAAAATAAAAGTACAAATATATCACTAAATAAATATATATATCACTAAATAAATCTGGATTGTAGAGAAAAGTGGGAAACAGAAAAGTAGTTTTATATTGTCAAAGGTCTTTATTAGTTAGTGTCTTAATGTATATATATATACAGTATAACGGGTGAGTTTTAATTCCCCCCCCCCAACTTTTTCCTATATTTTTTCAAATATCAATCCCAGACCACTTCCAAACATTGTTGGGTAGTAAGTACAGTACTTCATTTTGACAAGATGGTCATTTCCGGCCACCAGCTTGGATGCAAAATATTTGTTTCAAATGTAAAGGTCGAGTTGTGACCCATTATTTCAAACTAAAATTTTACCCTGATTACAATGCCACAAACCGTTTAAAAAAATCTTGATCCATTCCAAAGTTATGAGGGCTTTTCAAAACTTTATTTTTAGCACATTTTAACATTGTGCATTTACAAACTAAGACCGTAATCTCAAAATGGTGATAGATAAAGATAAGTATACACTACCAGTCATTGTTGACCTATTTTCACTTGGTTATGACGGATGTATTTTTTCAACCAACATCTTGGATCGGCCATTTTGAAGTGTGATAAATTATTTTAAATATGAAGGGGGGTTTTGACCCATCATCTCGAATTACTTTTTTAAGCTAAACTCAATGCCGCAATCCATTTTTCGTTATCAAGTTTTATTTGTGAAATATTGCAATTTTATTGTAAAAAATGTCAATAGTTCAAAATCAAAATATAAAATGAAAAACGGGTCATGGAATTGAGTTCAGCTTAAAAAGGTAATTCAAAATGATGCGTCACAACACCCCCTTCATATTTAAAATAATTTACGGTATCACATTTCAAAATGGCGGATCCAAGATGGCGGCCGAAAAAAATAAATCTGTCATAACCAAGTGAAAATAGGTCTACAATGACTAGTAGTGTATACTTATCTTTATCTAGCACTATTTTGAGATTATGGTCTTAGTTTGTAAATGCACAATTTTAAAATGGGCTAAAAATAAAGTTTTGAAAAGCCCTCATAACTTTGGAACGGATCAAGATTTTTAAAAACGGTTTGTGGCATTGTAATCAAGGTAAAAATTTAGTTTGAAATAATGGGTCACAACTCCACCTTTACATTTGAAAAAAATATTTTGCATCCAATATGGCGGATCCAAGAACGCGGCCGGAAATGACCACCTTGTCAAAATGAAGTACTTACTACCCAACAATGTTTGGAAGTAGTCTGGGATTGATATTTGAAAAAATGTAGAAAAAAGTTGGGGGGGGGGACAAATAAAACTCACCCTGTATATATAGCCTACCGGTATATGGTTTCTAAAAAGTCACAGACACAAACGTTATAGGAGAATGTTTCCTTGGACAAGTATAAAATTAAAATATTATGACAACAGACCAGTGTGAGTATCTGTTAAAAACATTCAGGCACAGATACCCCAAAGAATCTCTTGAATGATTTGTTTGTGTATAGACTTGGGCTATAACATAATACTGTAATTTACTATTCTCCCAACTCCTTTACAATTTGTTCTAAAGGTTTGTTTTTTGTCTCAATAACAAAAAAATGTGCAAACAAAATACCTACCAAAGTGCAGGTTGTACAGATAAAGAAAAGAACTCCTCTGCCGATCGCTAAACTTATTACTTCAAAATAAAATGTGACTATAAAGAGTGAAAAAGAACTGAGACAAAAAACGACTGAAAGAGCATGGGTTGCGATATTTCTTGGAAACGTTTCACCAAAAAGTACTGTCGGAACGGGTCCGAACCCCAAAGAAAATGAGATTACAAAGATACAAATAATAACTAGGGGTAACCAAGCAATTGACGAAAGGTCGTAATTTCTATCTTTGAGGAAGAAGAAGAGGCCAAGAAAGAACGTAGAAGTAGCCATTCCTGCTCCAGAGATGAACAATAGAGGTCGACGACCGAGCTTGTCAACCACCGTAGAGGACACCATAGTGAATACAAGGTTTAAGGAGCCTAGAAGAATAGTCTGTATGTTGGGGCTCAAGGAAAAACCAGCCTCCTGCAAGAATTTGAAATAAATTAAATGAAAAAAGTGTCATTGTTGTAAAAGAATAAACAACACAAACATATTAACATTTTTACCTAGGACCTAGACAGGTTCTTTTCAATACATTAAAATTATCAGGGTTATTAAGTACTGGTTCCATGGCTATGGCAAAAGTACCTCCATACTTTGTATGGCAACACATTGAGCATCTAGGACAAAGGTTTATAAAGTTTTACAATTTATAATGATAATAATCTAATGATAATTTATCTTTATGTAAAACCTACAAAAAAACAAATATCTGGTTAACAAAGCGATTTAAAAATAGTTATTTGTGCATTTTGCAATTTGCACTCAAGTTGCACATTATATTTTTCCCCCAATTACCATAAAACAAATAAATTGGTAAAGAAACGTGACTTCACGTTGCAAATCTGGAGTGAGACAATGTTAACATTGTCTGACTGATGAGCAAATTGGCCAAATTCTCAAATCAGTGAGAGAACATGTTCATTGTTAGGTAACTGTAGGAAATAGTCATTCTTGATTTCCTCTTTTGACCCATAGAACCATTTCCCGAAGTTTGGCTGTTTACTTAAACGGGACAACCTGTGTATGGATTTCTGTCTTTATGATGTTGTGTGTACATTTTTTACTGATGATATAGCTTTTTATTGACTGGCTCACTGACATTTTACAACAATTAGGTTTTCTCTCTCTGCTCTCATATTTTTCATAATTTTGAGTTTCATGGGGTCCGTCCCTGAGCAGTTTTTTTTTTTTTTTTAATAATTGAATAGTTTTCTAAAGTTTTTAGGAAAAAGCATTTACCTTGGATTAAATAAGTATATATGATGGAGAGGACACAGCTAACTCACCTGATGAAAGTTGCAGACGAGTCAAAGAACACATAAAAACACACACATAATAATACTTGATATTTCACCTCTTTCAGAGGCTTCTTCAGAGTATTATTTGAAGGCCATTAGGCTTAGAAGGCAGTTACAGAAACAACAGTTTAAAATATATAATCTCTCTGCTCTCATAGTTTGCATAATTTTGAGTTTCATGGGGTCCGTCCCTGAGCAGCTTTTTCTGGGATAATTGAATAGTTTACTAAAGTTTTTAGGAAAAAGCATTTAGCTTTTGGATTAAATAAGTATATGTATATGATGGAGAGGACACAGCTAACTCATCTGATGAAAGTTGCAGACGAGTCAAAGAACGCATAAAAACACACACATACAGCAATAATACTTGATATTTCGCCTCTTTCAGAGGCTTCTTCAGAGTATTATTTGAAGGCCATTAGGCCTAGAAGGCAGTTACAGAAACAACAGTTTAAAGTAAATAATATGGCCTGTTTAAAGAGTTTAAAAAATATAGTATTCTTTGAGTATTGTAGATTTATCAAGCTTGTCAACTTACGTGAAATATTTTGGTATTGTAGTATATGATACCAGGCATACCACTAAACTGCCGGATTAACACAAGTCCTAAACAGATGACCAATCCTTTTTTGGCAGCTTTGGTGGAAAAGGCTTCAATGAATTTCAGTTTGGCTGCTTTCATCTAATAAGAAAACAATTATTATTTGTAACGTTATTAATTCTTAAAAAAAGATTATAGATAACTTTAAGAGCAGTATTATTACTTTCTCCCCCTATAGATAGTGAATAAAGAAAAAAAATTGAGAAAGCATATTGTTTTTGTCAAAATTGTTCTGTTTGAGTTTTAGGGGAAAATGTAATAGTTGGGTCTCCCTGAATCCAAAAAAGTCGTTTTGTGTGTGTGTTTGTAGATGTGTACAGAGACTACTTAATTCTATACTGTGGACAAGGTATGATTTTGATTAAATTTGTTATGTTGGTATTAATCTTCGGTATCCCTGGAGTTTTTTAATTTCTTGGAAATTGCTAATTTTAATTGTGAGGTTTTTATAAAATAATGTAAAATCTGATTTTTACAAAAAAACTGCTTGAAATTATTTTACTTAAAATGGTTTACAATACCTGCATATAGTAATCCTTTGTTGCTGATTTTGGCAACTAGTTTTGGTTCTTCTGAACCATCATCAGGCCTCAAGGTAATCACTTCATTCAAAGAGCGTTAACAAACAGAGTTCAATAAATAATACATATACAAAACACGATAACACGGAATGGACACACATTACAAAAAACACGAAGGGACATTGACAATCGATCGTGACTGGGCTGAGGTAAAGTCTTTACCTCATATTACTTATGCAGGTATTGTAATTTAAAGTATAATACAGTAATCCGGAGGCTAAACAACTATTTTTAAAATTATTTTAATTAGAATTCAGTGTGTTATGATCCATTAAATTCTAAACAAAATGGTACAACTCTCTATTGTGTAAAAATTGTGGTTTAAATTCAAATAAAAATTCTTTATTAACTCATAACATCTTTTGGAGTACAATGTACATAGATAGGAGTTTTGTCAATATTTATAATACCCCCGTCGCAGCAAACCTGCATACTAAGCGAATTTCCATTTACCCGGCTTGATTTCTACTAAAATATTCCCTATACATTATCAGATTTATTTCCTATTTAAATAACATTAATTTTAGTGAGTAGTTAGGTTTGCTGCTACGGGGAAGATGTTGAGATGTGTTTTTTTCAATTGAAATATTGATAGCTTAGTATGAAATAAATCAAATTGCCAAATTTGATTAAAATATATCCATAAACAAGCAAACTAGAACAGTTTATTTATTCTCCATAAGAATAACATGGGAATTTTAAATTTACAATTTTTTTAAATTTTCTCCGTAGTCAATGAACATTCAAAAACACTTCAATATACTTAATTATTAGTTTTTTTTAGCTCTTCAAAATGGTCTAGAGAGAAATTTAGAAATTTTAAGTTTTTAGGGTCAAAAATGAGAAAAACCCATTTTTACCCCATAAAACCCCCCATAAACCCCTGATCCCATGGTCCGATTATGCTGGTTCGCGAACTCGTTCAAATAAATGTAGGTTTACACGTTTGTACCAAATTTCATCAAAATCGGATCAATTTTGCTTGAGTTATCGCGCTAACGGACACATATATATATGAATTTTAACGGATGGTGTTTTTGGCCTCTGGGGACCTCAAAACGAAAAAGAAATCGGTCCCGGGTCTAGGTCTTACCATGAGACCTACGGTAATAGCTTATTCCCTATATGGGAAATTCGCTAAAACTAATACTAAACTGTTGTATTTTTGATAAAACTAATTACAATTATTAAAACTTTAAAAATATAATAGTAATACTGAACAAAAAGAAAAAAATTATCTGAAATTCCTAAAACTAAGCTCAAATTACAAGACTAAATACCAGTCTGGTCTGTATCAGAACAGGATATAGACTTAACACCGTGGTACAACCTATCCTTCAAAACTATCAAGAAAAAATTCTTCAATGCTATAGTAAGACTTTTCCAATAATAATTTATGTAAGGTTTCGAAGACATTTTTTGATGAATTTTTGCTTATGATTTTTGATAGTTTGTTAAAAATTTTGATTGCCATGTAATTTGGACTATTTTCATACAGAGAAAGTCTATGGTGTGGATATTATTTGTATTTCGTTCTCGTCTCCCAGTTAAAATTTGTTGACCCCCTCCTATTGGCCGTCCTGGTCAACGTCTTATAGTCTCCATTATGTCGAACGTTTTTTAGGTTATGTTTTGATTTTGTGCAAAATTTTAGTATAACCAGCTGTTTCAAATACCCTATTAGTGTCAATTTGAAAGTATTCGTCTGTTCACATGTAAACAAACATTTCCTCCCTATGAATAACATGGGAACTTTGAAGGCCACTGGGGCAGAGCCCTGATGGAATTCCAAAGTTTTTTTGCTTGATGGCAAAACTACATGCCAAGACCTTTCTAACGACACCTTGGACATGGTGATCGGTAGCACCACCACTCCAAAACAATTATGACAAAAATATGCCTAGCGTATTAAATATATAGATAAGCCGTTGATTAGGTTTTTTATAGGAGTAATTTAAATTATTTATTGAAAATAACATCAACAAAAGCAAACAAGGACAAACAACAAACTGTTTTTACACAAAAGATGTTGTACTGGGATATCTATCTTCACACATAGATAACTTGATTCTGACTTTGTTTAAATATTACAATAATCTAACAAAAAACCACCAAGTGGTAACACTTTCCCCGCCAAGTCAGCAATCCAAAAAAGATAATAAATCATTACTTTTTCCGCCAAGAAAAACAATGTAATGTATGTAAGTTTGGCAACTTGGCGGCAGACTTTTGCTTGGTTTTTTTTAAATTTAAGTTACGTTCGTGGATAATTTCACAAATCGACTTCTCTAATTAATTAGTCCAACTAAGTATAATAATTTCGAGGTAATCAGTAAATATAAAACCATCACTATTATGATTTTATGAAATGTGCCAAAAATAAGGTCAAATTTTGTAAAATAAGCTCTCACCTAGCAAAGTACTAATGGGAGAGATACTTGCTCAATGAAACTAGTTTTATGGCATTTTTAAAGTGATCGAGCAAAAGTCTGCTGCCAAGTTGCCAAACTTACATACATTACATTGTTTTTCTTGGCGGAAAAAGTAATGATTTATTATCTTTTTTGGATTGCTGACTTGGCGGGGAAAGTGTTACCACTTGGTGGTTTTTTGTTAGATTTTATTTATTTTTGTAGAAAATCAACAGTTAAAATAGAAATCCTCTTTTCTCTGATATATAGACCTTGTCGTTGATAGCCGAATACAGCAAGCACCCTTACGTGTTGGGTTTAAGTGTGCTCTCCAATAGCCGCCTGAAGATTTCACATTCAATTTAGGACTGTTGGATAATCGTTGCATAAGCTGTTGTTTTGGAAGACAAGGAGGCGGGTAAGACTACATCGGAAACAGAAGAGAGGGGATATTAGATGAGTGGCAAATGCGTTGGGAGCAGAGTGTTTTATGTTAACGTTTTAAAGGTAAACTTTCGTATTTATTCCTAACATCAGAAAGAGACTGGAACAAGATTGGGAGATGGGCCATTATGAAACGCAGTTTGTCACAGGACATGGAAAATTTCAAGGCGATTTTGTGAAGATTTCACATGGTGGAAGAGGAAGTATGTAGATGTGGAGAAAAAAAACCCACGAGTCACGTATTTATGAATTGTTCACTTCAGGAAACAAATAGGAGAGAACAGGAATAAGTCTTGGATAAGAGAGGACTAGAGATGAGAAAATAAAACATGATGAGTGACAAGGAAACAATTGAGACGTTTAGAAAAGTATCAAGGGAAATAGGAAAACCCAGGGATACATACAAGTGTTAAGATTTAAAAACAGAAACAAACAAAAACTAAGAAAGAAAAGGAATGAAATCTTGCTCATGAAGGGGAGACGAAAGGTTAGAGCGAATCTCAATGATCCCTATTGCTCAGGGCGGTATGGGGAAGGGAGTCGTGATGTTAGGCTTTTTGACATTGTAACGTTATTACATTTAAATAGAATGAAATATATGAATGAAGAATCTTTTATTCTCAAGCATTTATAACAAAAGTAACAAGTAAAACAAACATTGTTTTTATGAAAACATCTGATTGAATTAAATTAAAGAACAGTATTTCAGCATACATAACATTTCCCCCTTCCTTCTTTAAATGCCTGGAGGACTAATATTCATCATGGTAATACATTGGCCTTCTTATATTCCGACTTGATTTTCTCTGGTTTGTAGTACCAGATGAAGGTGAAGTTAGTGTTTGTGAAGTTTGCCGTTGAATAGATTGTTGTGCAGGCTGTATTTGTTGGCGTGTTCTTAAATGGTCGGCATGCTGCCTGTATACTTTGTCATCAATGTTCACTCTGTATGACAATGGTGCTGTTTTCCTTAGCACTACCCCTTCTCTCCAATTTTCATTTGGATTCCGTTTCACCCAAACTGTATCACCTGCACTAAAGTCTTTACGTTTAGAGTGGATATCATGATAAAACTTTTGGCGTTCTGACGACTGTTTCATCTTTTCCTTCACGTCCGGTCTTAGGGTGTCAATCAAAGTTCTTGGGTTTCTTTTCAGGAAAAGTTCAGCTGGTGTCCGTCCAGTCGATGAATGTGGAGTTGTTCTGTATGAGAATAAAAGTGTATGGAGTCTTTGTTCGTGATCATTTATGTCAGTCATGAGATACTTGTTTTGAAATGTCTGAATGACTCGTTCAACACAACCATTGGAACGACTGTGGTAGGGAGTAGTTCTGATGTGAATCACGTTATTCTTGCGGCAAAAGTCTCTAAATTCTTCTGAGACGAACTGATTTCCATTGTCAGTAACAATTTGTTTCACAAGTCCATATCTACAGAAAAGTTCACGAAGTCGTCTTATCACAGTGTTGCTTGTAGCGTTTTTCATTGGAAATATTTCCAACCATCGAGAATATGCGTCTATTACCACTAACCACATGTATCCGTCAAAAGGTCCTTTGAAATCAATATGTAATCTTTCCCAAGCATTTTCCGGTATATTCCGTGAATTGAGTGGCGTTTCGACATCATTCTTCCTGAAAGTTT